TCATGACATGTTGGAGAAAACTTTCACCATTTTTCATGCCTCGAATATGCTCATGCAGCAGCAATATCGAGGAATGGAATTCAAAAAGTATTTTGAACTTATCTCACATCTTCTTGTAGCCGGGCAACATAATGGGCTATTAATGAAAAACCATGAAAGCCGACCTACTAGTACTTGTCCATTCCCTGAAGTGAATGAGACGAGCTTCCACCAAGCTAAACGTGGAAGAGGACATGTCCCCAGTTGTGGTCATGGCCGTGGTCGGGGAGAAAACTCTAATCATGGTAATAATAATGCACCAAAGAACCCTCCTCATCACCAACACTTAAAAAGGAAGGAACAAAAGCATGAAGCGGTACAAGCAGCAAAGCCAGAAAATGCATGCTATAGATACGGAGGAAAAGGGCACTGGTCACGTACATGTCGTACGACAAAGCACATGGTTGAGCTGTATCAAGCCTCCCTGAAGAAGACAGAAAAATGTTGAAGCAAGTTTTATTTCTGAAGATAATTTAGACTTCATGCATTTGGATGTAGCTGATTACTTTGCACTCCCAGAAGGAGAAACAAGTCATGTGATCGGTGATGGATCTGTAGAGATGTAAATATTTTAATTTTTGTTGTTTGTAGTAGATAGTATGGTTATGTAATAGTTATACATAAATAAAAGTTATGCTTTGATAATGATGTTTACTATCATATTTATTTTGTTTATGTCATTTTGAAGAATATGGATAATCCTCAAATTATGTTTGGATCAAAGATCAATCACGAAGATATTTGTGTAATTGATAGTGGAATAACTCATTCCATATTCAAAGATCAGAAATACTTTTCCTATTTACATAAGGAAAAAGCAAATGTTTCTACAATTTTTAGTAATATAAGTTTGATTAAAGGCTCCGGAAGAGCTATTGTATTTCTGTCTAAGGGAACAAAACTTATTATAGATAATGCATTATTCTCCTCCCAGTCCCGAAGAAACTTGTTGAGTTTTATGAATATCCGCCGAAATGGGTATCATGTTGAGACAATAGATGAAATGAACATGGAATATCTTTGTATTACAAAGAATATTTCTGGCCAGAAGTGCATTGTAGAAAAGTTACCAACTTTATCTGCTGGCTTATACTATTCAAAGATTAGTACAGTTGAAGCACACTCTATCGTAAACCGGAAGTTTACTAATTCAAATACTTTTGTGGTTTGGCATGGCCGTTTGGGCCATCCTAGATCAATAATGATGAGACAAATTACTAAAAATTCGAGTGGGCATCCATTAAAGAACCTGAAGATTCTTACAAATGATGAATTTTCTTGTGATGCTTATTATCGAGGCAAAATGATCACTAGACCATCACCAATGAAGGTTGGCATTGAGTCCCCTGCCTTTTTAGAACGTATACATGGGGATATATGTGGACCTATTTACCCACCAAGTGGGCTGTTTAGATATTTTATGGTCCTAATAGATGCATCTTCAAGATGGTCTCATGTGTGCCTACTATCATCTCTCAACCTGGCGTTTGCAAAGTTATTAGCCCAAATAATTCGATTAAGGGCACAATTCCCAGATTATCCTATAAAGGCTATTCGCCTTGATAATGCTGGAGAATTCTCATCTCAAGCTTTTGATGATTATTGTCTATCAGTTGGGATAAAAGTTGAACATCCTGTAGCTTATGTTCATACTCAAAATAGCCTTGCAGAGTCATTTATTAAACACATGCAGTTGATAGCAAGGCCACTACTTATAAATACAAAATTGCCCGCTATTGTTTGGGGCCATGCTATCTTGCACGCAACATCACTTATTCGTCTCAGACCGATATATTATAATAAATATTCTCCGTCACAATTAATTTTTGGTCATGAACCAAATATTTCCCATCTACGAATTTTTGGATGTGTTGTATATGTGCCAGTAGCACCACCACAACGCAGTAAGATGGGCTCGCAGAGAAGGTTAGGAATATATGTTGGGTTTGAATCACCCTCTATTATACTCTATCTTGAACCATTGACGGGAGATTTATTTACTGCTCGATTTGCAGATTGTCGATTTGATAAAACAAATTTCCCACAATTAGGGGGAGAGAAAAAGGAAATTAAAGGAGAAATTGTGTGAAAAGTTTCATCATTATCTCACTTTGATCTATGTACCCCTATATGTAATCATGAGGTCCAGAAGATCATCAATTTACAGAATATAGCAAATCAAATGCCAGACGCATTTACTAATTTGAAAATGATAACTAAGTCACATATCCCCGCAGAGAATGTGCCTATCTGAATTGATGTCCCAGCAGGACCATCTACTAGTATGGGAGCTAGTGAACCTAAAGCACGTCTGAAGCGTGGTAGGCCTTTGGGTTCTAAGGATCGAAATCCTAGAAAAAAAAATCGACAAATGATCGAAATGATATTATGAAGGGATCTCCTGAAGAGACCCAAGATCTGATTAGTTCTGAGATTCCTGACGAAATCAATGAACACGAGGCTAAAGTGAGTGAGGAACTTTTAATAAGTTCTACTGATGATGGGATTAATTTAAATCGATCTGAAATAGTGGTAGATAATATTTTTGCATATAATGTTGCACTTAACATTATGCAAGATAGTGAGGATCTTGAACCCCGGTCTGTCAAAGAATGTCGACAAAGATTTGATTGGCCAAAATGGCAAGAGTCAATTCAATTGGAATTGAAGTCACTTGCTAAAAGAGAGGTCTTTGGACCAGTAGTCCAAACACCTACTGGTATAAAGCGAGTTGGTCATAAATGGATTTTTGTGCGAAAAAGGAATGATAAAAATGAAGTTGAGAGATACAAAGCTCGCCTTGTTGCACAAGGATTCTCACAACGACCTGGAGTCGATTATGAAAAAACATATTCACCCGTTATGGATGCCATAACATTTCGATATCTCATCAGTTTAGCCTTACGTGAAAGGCTTGAAATACATCTAATGGATGTTGTTACAACTTATCTATACGGGTCACTTGATAATGATATTTAATGAAAATCCCCGAAGGATTTAAAATGCCTGAAGCATATTCAAAGTCTCGGAAAATGTACTCAATCAGAGTACAAAGATCTTTGTACGGTTTAAAGCAATCTGGGTGCATGTGGTATAATCCCCTCAGTGAATATTTGCTGAAAGAGGATTACATAAATGATGTTATTTGTCCATATATTTTTATAAATAAAATGGCTTCAGAATTTGTTATACTTGCTGTTTATGTTGATGACATAAATCTTGTTGGAACTCCAGAAGAGCTCCCAAAGGCAATTGAATATCTTAAGAAAGAATTTGAGATGAAAGATCTTGGAAAGACAAAACTTTGTCTTGGTCTGTAAATTGAATATTTAGCAGACGGGATCTTTATCTATCAATCTGCCTATACAGAAAGGGTCTTAAAACGCTTTTACATGGATAAAGCACACCCATTGAGTACACCGATGGTTGTTCGATCACTTGAAGTGAATAAATATTTGTTCCGACCTCCAGAAGAGGATGAGGAACTCCTTGGTCCCGAAGTACCATATCTCAGTGCAATTGNAAGTACCCTATCTCAGTGCAATTGGTGCACTAATGTATCTTGCTAATGCTACAAGGCTTGACATAGCATTTTCTGTTAATTTACTAGCAAGATATAGTTCTTCTCCTACACGGAGACATTGGAACGGGATTAAGCATATATTGCGATATTTAAAGGGAACTATTGATATGGGTTTGTTTTATGCTAACAAAGATAGTGCAGATCTTGTTGGTTATACAGATACAAGTTATTTATCTGATCCCCATAAAGCTAGATCTCAAACCGGGTACGTTTTTATATGTGGAGGTACTATCATATCATGGCGCTCCACAAAGCAATTTATTGTTGCTACTTCTTCAAACCATGCTGAAATAATAGCTATTCATGAAGCAAGTAGAGAATGTGTATGGTTGACATCAATAATTCATTTTATTCGGGAAAAATGTGGTTTGGAATGAGAAAGAAGCCCCACAATTTTATACGAAGACAATGCTGCATGCATAACTTAATTGAAGGGAGGATTTATAAAATGAGATAGAACGAAGCACATTTCACCAAAATTATTCTACACACACGATCTTCAGAAAAATGGTGACATTGATGTGCAACAAATCCGTTCAAGTGACAATCCGGCAGATTTATTCACTAAATCTTTGCCAAATTCAACTTTTGAGAAGATGGTATACAAGATTGGAATGCGGAGACTCAAATATTTGAAACAAGATTTTCATCAGGGGGTGTAAAATACGTGATGTACTCTTTTTTCCTTACTAAGGTTTTTTCCCATAGGGTTTTCCTTAAAAAGGTTTTTAACGAGGCAACTAGAAATGCATATTACTAAATATGTGTATTCTTTTTTCTTCATTAGGATTTTTTCCACTGGGTTTTTCCTAGTAAAGTTTTAACGAGGCACAATACCTTTTAGTGAACATCCAAGGGGGAGTGCTATGAAAATAATTATATTGTGGATGTCCATTTATTACTCCGCTATAGATAATCTTCCTGAAGAAGATTATCCATTTAGTACTTTGTTGAAGTTTATCTACAAGCAGCTGATGCAAGCAGGTTGTAAGCAGCTCAATAAAATGATTTGAAGCAGCTTCTTATTAAGCAGGCAGGTTGCAAGCAGCTCATGCAGACAACTTACAAGCAGCTAAAGAAAAGCCTTGCAGCTGCTTCCTGAAAAGCCTCGCAACTGCTTCCTTTCTTCTATAAATAGAGTAGTTTTTAGTTAATTATGTACATAAATTTGAAAGTTGAATAATATATCAGCTTCTCTCTATAGTTGTGTTTACTTTACAATTTTTATTTTATAACATCTCTTAAATAATTACAAATGATATACACGTAATAAGAGGAAAAAGGAAAGATTATTACTTTCAAGAAAATATGGGGACGTGGCTGTATATATGTGGCTTCATTCTGTCCAATCACTTTGGAAGTTTTTTTTTTAAACTTTACTTCCAACTTTAGCTTCAGCTATCTCACTAACCAAACTGTGACAAGTCTGAATATGGCGATCTCAAGTTGTTCATCAATCTTCATATCCAAATTGGATTTCCCTGTTTCATGTTCACAAAGCATAACCAACAAAATATCAATTAGTTCAATTCCTTTTCTTAGAAAATCTGTTAGTACTAAGAAGTTTTTTATTTCCATTAAGACTCCAAAATCTTGTAGCTATATATCCAATTCACTTGTAAATGACTATTCAATTGATGAAACATCTAAAGAAAGCACAACCCAAGTTCCCATTGAAGTCAAAACCAGGTAAAATTCTATCCATTCTTTTGTTTGTTGTGTATTTATGTTGTCTATTTGAATATTCAATTGTATTTTACTGAATTCATCTTTTAGTTGTGGCTGTCTGAGANCCCCAAACCTCCACCCCACCCCAAATCCAAAACAAACAGAAAAAAGGAAAAAACAAATTGTTGCCTTTATTGCCCAATTGACTAGCAAGATTGCAAATTATTATATAGGAGTTCCGAATGACACTTTCCCTGTGTTATGAAATGAGCCCGTTTACAGGGGAATATATAGCCGATCCCAGCTTGTTTGGGATTGAGACGTGGTTGATTGATTAATTGTTATAGAGTTGGATTGGGGCTAATGACAGATTGAAAATGTAGCTAATGCTTGAAAAGAATAGGCTAACAGATATATTGTAGAAGAATTACATATCCAAAAGAAAGAAAAAGGTTCTATAGGAGGATAATTAAAGCATAAAGCACATTAAGCTGAAACGAAAACGAACTTAGGAAAGACAGTCTGAATTTCAGCATTAAGGTTCCTTTGGAATTCATATGTTGGAAAAGGAGAATAGGAGGGAAGAAAATAAATTGTGATCGTCGGCCTAATATGTGGGATTGGATATAGGTGTTCGTAACACGCGACGGAATACAATAAAAATCCTAGGAAGATCTTTTCGTGTTTAAAATTTATTTACATGTCAAAGATCGGATCTAAGACGTACCTGGTGAAGAGAATCTCGTTGCAAAATTTTTTCGATAGTGCGAAGACCCTATACGTATCCACACCGAGACCGATCCTTGCTATCAACTCTTTGATCAATGAAACCCGTGAACAAATTGAATGAAATTGTGTACTGAATATTTTCTAAAACATTTCAGCCAAGAAGAACGAAGAAAACTATTTTCTTGTCAAGAACGTATTTCTCTTAGAATTTTGTGCGGTGCATACACCTTGTGATTTTTCACACTGACTTCCTCTTCACAGATATGTGTATATATATAACAACAACAACAAAAAAATTGGACTTCACAAATATGTGTATAAATACATGAAGTGAAAACAATATTCTAATAGGGCAAGTCAAAGATGGAGGCTTCAAAGATGGTGGCTTCCTTTTTGTCTTTCAAAGTCCATTCCAAATTGGACTTCAGAGAATCCTCCTTTTTGAAAAAAAAAATCCAATCCCATATCAATTTGTCTAATTGTGATGGTCGTACTTTAGTTAGTCCAATTGGACTTTCACGTCCCTTGATACAATTCAAATTGGATTATAAGAATAAATGAATATTATATATCACCTTTATATAGATCAATATCAATTTATTATATATATCACATATATATTTTAATTGAGAGATATAATTTTAATTTTCTATTCCAAATAGAAAACTTCAACTTGTCCACAATATTAATTATATCCTCTGTGCTAGCAAAGAATATAATAATATTTCATTTAGACTAATAACTAAATTTATTTGACTAATTACATTCTTTAATTTAATTATCAAATAATAAAGTAATTAATCCTTTAGCAAAGATCAGAACACTCGTTAGTGTGCGACCCTATAGGTTCAATACTAAGGCGGTAGTTAATTGATCACATCAATATACTAATCAAGGGTGGCGTCTAGCAACACTCCTTAACGACCGGATATAATAAAGTATACAACTTACTCTTAAGAACCAGTAGAAGAATAATGTAGTAATTCCTCCGGTTGGACCCTATGTCAATCATATGATTGATCTTATTGAAGAACTTGAGAAGTTGGGGTGCAAACTGGGTAAAGAGCTTTCTCAAGATTTGATCTTGCAGTCACTCTCTGAATCCTTTTCACAATTTGTTATTAATTTCAATATGCATAAAATGGATTGTGATCTTCATGAGATGCTTAACATGCTGATTGATTATAAGAATCAACTTGCATCTGAGAAGAAGAAAGGAACTGTCATGTTGGTTAGAAACTCTTCTACGAAGAAGGGTAAGGGTAAAAATAAACCCAAGAAGAAGTCTACTGCGCCTAAGGGTGGTGTGACCAAATCCAAAGGCAAAGGAGGCAAAACTGACCAATCTGATGCTGGATGTTTCCATTGTAAAAAGATAAGACATTGGAAGAGAAACTGCACGGAGTATCTTGCAACTCTAAATGATAAGAAACAAGGTAAGACTCGAATGAAAAATATTTTCAAAGTTTCTTTAACTACTACTGATCCTTCATTGTGGGTATTAGATACTGACAGTAGTTATAACATTTGCAATATGTTGTAGGATTCCAAATAAGTAGAAGGTTGAAGAAAGGAGAAATTAATCTAAAAGTTGGAAATGGTGCAAAAGTTGCGGCCGTAGCTGTAGGATCAATTTCTTTAATAATGCCTACGGCAAAGTACTTATGTTGGATGATTGTTATTATGTTCCTAAATTTTTTGCGAACATAATTTCAGCTTCTATGTTAGACAAAAGTGGTTTTCGCATACCTTCCAATGTTCCTCACAAGGATTTGCCTGATATCGGCTAGTCATTCCTAGTGCATAAGCCACATCAGAACGTGTACATGTCATGGTATACATGATAGCTCCCACCGCACTAGCGTATAGGATCCTACTCATGCGTTCTCTCTCTTCAGGTGTTTTAGGACAATCGTCCCTACTGAGAGTAATTCCAGTGCCTATCGGTAGATAGCCTCTTTTGGAATTATCCATGTTATACCTCTTTAAGATGCTATCAATGTACAAGGACCGGGAAAGCCCAAGCAGCTTCCTAGATCTATCTCTATAAATCTTTATTCCCAATATATAAGCTACTTCTCCTAAGTCTTTTATGGAGAACTGTTGAGATAGCCAAATCTTGGTACTTTGCAATGCTAGTACATCATTCTCGATGAGCAATATATCATCAATATAAAGTATTAAGAATATAATTGTGCTCCCACTAACCTTTTTGTACACACAAGGCTCTTCTTCGCATCTAACAAAATTAAACTTTTCAATTGTCTTGTTAAAGCGAATATTCCAACTTCTAGAAACTTGCTTTAGGCCATAAATGGATCTATGTAGCTTGCAAATTTTATTATGATCGGGCGAAGATGTGAAACCTTCAGGTTGTGTCATGTACACATTCTCTTCTAGTTTACCATTAAGAAAAATTATTTTCATATCCATTTGCTATATTTCATAATCGTAGTATGCTGCTATAGCAAGCAAAATCCGAATCGATTTGAGCATTGCCACGGGAGAGAAAGTCTCATCATTGTCGACTCCTTCTTTCTGATGATATCCCTTGGCAACAAGACGTGTTTTTAGGTCTCCACCTTTCCGTCCGCTCCAATTTTTTTCTTAAAAACCCATTTACATCCTATATGTTTTATATCCTTTGAAGGTTCAACTAAAGTCCATACTTTATTCTCCTTCATGGATTCCATTTCGGATTCCATGGCCTTTTGCCATCTCTCATAGTCAGAACTTTGTATAGCCTCTTCATAGGTCTTAGGGTCATCATCATTATGATAAACTTCATTTGATACATCATCTTGTACCATTAGATTTAATCTAGTTGGTACATGACGTTCTCGTGTAGACCTTCTAAGAGGTGCTTGTACAACTTGCTCACCTTGTGTTGGATTTGATTGTTGTTCAATTTGGTTTGGAACTGGTTCATTAACCTGTTCTTGAACTACATTTAGTTCTTGAACTTCAACCGTTGAAGATAGCAACTTTCTTATCAACTTCAAAACATCCAATAAAAGTTCTTCAATTAGTGTCTCATGATCTTGATATTGTGTTGATTCATTGGTTTCTTGAACTTCACCAAGTTCTATTTCTCTGCTATATTTTCCTTCTAAAAGAAATTCCCTTTCCAAAAGGTTGCTCATCTAGCCACAAACACTTTATAGTCAGAAGGGTGATAGAAATAATATCCCATTGTTTCTTTGGGATACCCAATGAACCTACACTTATCAGATCTTGAGTCCAGTTTATCAGATTGCAGTCTCTTAACATAAGCTGGACAACCCCAAACTTTAATATGCTTAAGGTTAGGCTTACGTCCTTTCCATATCTCATATGGTGTTGTAGAGACTGACTTAGTGGGAACTTTATTAAGTTAGTATGTTACTGCTTCCAAAGTATATCCCCATAAATATATTGAAAAATCAGTGAACCCCATCATAGATCTCACCATATCTAATAAGGTTCGATTTCTCCTTTCAGACACACCGTTATGTTGTGGTGTTCCTGGAGGTGTCCACTGTGAGAGAATCCCGTTCTCTTTGAAATACCTCATAAAATCTTCACTAAGATATTCTCCACCTCTATCAGACCTTAGTACCTTGATACTTTTACCCGTCTGTTTCCCAACTTCACTACAGAACCTTTTGAACATTTCAAAAGATTCAGATTTGTGTTTCATAAGGTACATAAATCCATATCTTGACATATCATCAGTGAAGGTGATGAAGTAAGAATATCCAACTCTAGCTTGAATTTTCATAGGCCCACAAATATCTGTATGAATTAGTCCCAATAATTCAGTAGCTCTTTCTCCACTTCCAGTAAATGGAGATTTGGTCATTTTTCCTTTGAGACAAAATTCACAAGTTGGATATGATTCAAAATCATTCCTGTCAAGGTACCCTTCCTTGTACAACTTGTTAATTCTTTTCTCTCAAATATGACCAAGTCTACAATGCCAAAGGTATGTATGATTTACTTGATCATCTCTTTTTCTCTTAAGACTTGAAACATGCATAATCGAATTAGCATTCACATTAGGTAAGACATAAACATCATGCTGGAGATAGCCATTCACATATAAATTATCACCATAATAAATAGAGCAAATACCATTGTTTATAATAATGCGAAAACACATTTGTCTAACATAGAAACTGAAATTATGTTCAAAACAAATTTAGGAACCTAATAACAATCATCCAACGTAAGTACTTTGCCCGTAGGCATTATTAAAGAAATTGATCCTACAGCTACGGCCACAACTTTTGCACCATTTCCAACTTGTAGATTAATTTCTCCTTTATTCAACCTTCTACTTATTTGGAATCCTGTAACATATTGCAAATGTTATAACTACTGTCAGTATCTAATACCCACAATGAAGGATCAGTAGTAGTTAAAGAAACTTTGAAAATATTTTTCATTCGAGTCTTACCTTGTTTCTTATCATTTAGAGTTGCAAGATACTCCGTGCAGTTTCTCTTCCAATGTCCTATCTTCTTACAATGGAAACATCCAGCATCAGATTGGTCAGCTTTGCCTCATTTGCATTTGGGTTTGGTCACACCACCCTTAGGCGCAATAGACTTCTTCTTGGGTTTATTTTTACCCTTACCCTTCTTCGTAGAAGAGTTTCCAACCAACATGACAGTTCCTTTCTTCTTCTCAGATGCAAGTTGATTCTTATAATCAATCAGCATGTTAAGCATCTCGTGAAGATCACAATCCATTTTATGCATATTGAAATTAATAACAAATTATGAAAAGGATTCAGAGAGTGACTGCAAGATCAAATCTTGAGAAAGCTCTTTACCCAGTTTGCACCCCAACTTCTCAAGTTCTTCAATAAGATCAATCATATGATTGACATAGGGTCCAACCGAAGGAATTACTACATTATTCTTCTACTGGTTCTTAAGAGTAAATTGTATACTTCATTATATCCGGTCGTTAAGGAGTGTTGCTAGACGCCACCCTTGATTAGTATATTGATGTGATCAATTAACTACCGCCTTAGTATTGAACCTATAGGGTCGCACACTAACGAGTGTTCTGATCTTTGCTAAAGGATTAATTACTTTATTATTTGATAATTAAATTAAAGAATATAATTAGTCAAATAAATTTAGTTATTAGTCCAAATGAAATATTATTATATTCTTTGCTAGCGCAGAGGATATAATTAATATTGTGGACAAGTTGAAGTTTTCTATTTGGAATAGAAAATTAAAATTATATCTCTCAATTAAAATATATATGTGATATATATAATAAATTGATATTGATCTATATAAAGGTGATATATAATATTCATTTATTCTTATAATCCAATTTGAATTGTATCAAGGGACGTGAAAGTCCAATTGGACTAACTAAAGTACTACCATCACAATTAGACAAATTGATATGGGATTGGATTTTTTTTTCAAAAAGGAGGATTCTGTGAAGTCCAATTTGGAATGGACTTTGAAAGACAAAAAGGAAGCCACCATCTTTGAAGCCTCCATCTTTGACTTGCCCTATTAAAATATTGTTTTCACTTCATGTATTTATACACATATTTGTGAAATCCAATTTTGTTGTTGTTGTTGTTATATATATACACATATTTGTGAAGAGGAAGTCAGTGTGAAAAATCACAAGGTGTATGCACCGCACAAAATTCTAAGAGAAATACGTTCTTGACAAGAAAATAGTTTTCTTTGTTCTTCTTGGCTGAAATGTTTTAGAAAATATTCAGTACACAATTTCATTCAATTTGTTCACGGGTTTCATTGATCAAAGAGTTGATAGCAAGGATCGGTCTCGGTGTGGATACCCATACGGTCTTCGCACTATCGAAGAAATTTTGAAATGAGATTCTCTTCACCAGGTACGTCTTAAATCCGATCTTTGACATGTAAATAAGTTTTAAACACGAACAGATCTTCCTAGGATTCTTATTGTCTTCCGCTGCGTGTTACGAACACCTATATGCAATCCCACAGTGGTATCAGAGCACAATAAATAACTTGTCAATTACTATGATGATCTCAGGTCAAAGGAAACTCTTACATCACATCTTTCAAGAGAATATTCTATTGACAATTTATGGTAATTCTAACCATTAAGAATTATCCAATTAATCGGTTCAATGATCATATCTCTATATGCATCATCTATTTATGTGATTTAGTTAATGAGATCAATTAATCTTTATCCCATAAAGGCGATTACATAAATATTGATCTAACCGGATTTCTAATGTCCAAATTAATAATCCTACGATCAAGAACAAAATTTAAATTAAATTGTAACTCATTATCATGATCTCCATCATGATGACAAGTCTCAAAATTTAATCAAGGATTTTATTAAATTAATCAAGCAATTAATAATAACTATGATAAACGAATATCAAATGCCATATATTTTTATATCAAATAACATTCACAAAAATATGTTCAAATCATCAAATATGAGATTGGATCTAGGGCATATCTAATATATCTCTAACATAATAATGAAGCAAATTAGTATATGAAAAAGGAAGTGCTGTTTCATCCTAAAGCTATTTGTTTTTGTACAAAAATTACATTATTGCTATGCTTGGAATGTATTTCAAGAACAAGCCGTTAGGATTTAATTGGAAAAAAAGGTAGCCGGTGCACTAAGCTCCCGCTATGCGCGGGCTCCAGGGAAGGGTCGAACCACAAGGGTCTATTGTACGCAGTCTTACCCTGCATTTCTGCAAAAGGCTGTTTCCACGGCTCTAACCCGTGACCTCCTGGTCACATGGCAACAACTTTACTAGTTACGCCAATGCCCTCCAGGATTTAATTGAAAGTTTCAAATAAATCATTTCTGGCAAGATAGAGAACATAACTGCGACTATCACTATTTTGTTATTTAAGATTTCTGAATGACGTCATTTAAAATATTGTCTGATTTTGCATTTTCCGTCTTCAACTGTTTATCTGTTTGTTTTGGTCCTGCAGTATGTGGAACTGGAGGGGCTATTCCATTCGATACCAGTATTGTGGCAACAGTGGCCCTGCGCTCATTTTAGTCCATGGTTTTGGAGCAAACAGGTCAACATCAATCACATTTTGCTTATAGGTACTAATTTGCAAAACAACAGCACAAACATAATATTCCCTTCCCCTCCATTTCAGAATCCTTTTCTCTTTTGGCCTTTGAATTTTTAATCACATAGTAGATAACAGAATTTGAACTTTAGAATGTAGTTTATCTTTGATATATTTACTCCTTTTTTTATATTAAAGCCAAAACTCTATTATACTAAGATTCTTCGAAGATGCTTGAATGGAAACTATAGTACATTACAGAGAACTTCACGATCAATTTGTTATCTGGACAGAGTATAGAAGATGTCTAAAGTTTGAGGTCTAATTTTGCATCAATTAAGTTAGTTTATGAATGTAAACCTTTCAATGTAACATTTCTTTTATAATTGCAAACCAGAACACATGGTTAACGTGTAGCTCTTTTTGCTGGCTGTTGGTTGATTTGGTTTCATTTGAATACAATTTCAACTATTGGCACCCTTCAAAAAGATCATGTTTGGCATTTTGTTACTGTTTCATTCTGTTTGAACCGCCGTTTAGAATGATCGTCTTTTCCCACAGTGACCATTGGAGAAAAAATCTACCTGTTCTTGCACAATCACATCGGGTGTTCTCTATTGACCTTATTGGTTATGGCTATTCAGACAAACCAAATCCTCGTGAGCTTGATGTAGACAACTTTTATACCTTTGAAACATGGGGTTGCCAGCTAAACGATTTTTGTAAGGATGTTATCAGAGATAAAGCCTTCTTCATTTGCAATTCCATTGGAGGTGACCCCTTCTCTTTATGTTTTGTTTATGAGCTTAAAAATAATGTACCTTTTACTGATTCAATGATTTTTCGACTGATACATAATTCTAGAAGACTGAGCCTTTTGTATATTAGTGTGAATATTCCAATTGATGCTCGAAAGTTCACTGAGACATCATATGAGATAAACAGATAAATTATGTACAAGAAAATCTCATTATATTTATTGTTTTCACTTGTAAAAAAGGAAAAATGAATTGAAGTTTGAGAACCGAAATCATGACATTGTGTTTTTTGCTATTGTTACCGTACATCACTAGGATATATCACATATATATGGTTTTAAGTACTAAAGGTAAAAAAACCTTGCTATTTTGTTTATTTTTATTTCACTTTCATGCAATTTTTATGTGTGGAGTAGTCAAATAGTTTACTCGCTGCGGGCTCCCTTTTGAACTAGTGGAATTCACTTATTTGCGCTTATGTGCTTCTTTCATATTTTTATGCTTTAATTTATGTGATGTTTGTAACCCATAAAAGAACTTTCTGGATACCTCTGCAGGACTTGTCGGTCTTCAGGCTGCAGTTATGGAACCACAACTCTGTAGAGGCATTCTTCTTTTAAATATCTCGCTCCGAATGCTGCATATAACAAAGCAGCCTTGGTTCGGAAGATCACTGATTAAAGCATTTCAGAATTTATTGAGGTGAACTTCTTTATTCATTACATCTCGAATCTTTTGCTATCTGCAACAGACTCATGTTCTAAGTGTTTTTGACTCAGAAATACTGCAGTTGGGAAATTCTTTTTCAAAAGTGTTGCTACGCCTGAATCAGTGAAGAATATTCTATGTCAGGTAGATAATTTAAAGCACCATTTTGTCTATAATGTTATATCTATCTGAAGAATTAAAAAGTAATTGCTAACAGAAATGTTCACCAAAAGTATAAAACAATGATCTTGAGATATCTTTCAATGTTTAGCGTCCGTCAATTGTTATTCAAGATAGCATAATTTGGGAGGAGTGGACATACATGAACTATTAAAAAGAACAAAGAATCTGACATCTAAGGCCAAAAACTTCACAGGCTACTTGTAACTTAAATTTTGGCTTGGAATAATTGAGAATTTTCAAATTTAAGCAGCTTAAAAGATTACGTTTGTCATAGTTTTAAGGTTGAAAATATTCAACTATTTGAGGTCGGTAAGTATGCATTTCTTTAAAGGGTATTGAACTTAAGTGGAGCATTAGTTGGTTTAGAAGAAACTACTATGACAAAAAGGTCAGAGGGATGCCGCTTTAGCAAGTGAAGCACAGCAAGAGATGACCAAAACATCGCATTTGAAAAATCTGTGGTATGCTGGTCACATATTTGGAGGATCTCTAGTGTATTTTTACAGTTTGTTTTCGTTTCTTTGTTGTGACTATAGCAGAAATCGATAAGATAACCAAAACTTTCTTTGCAGTGTTACTATGACACATCCCAGGTGACAGATGAGTTAGTACAGGCCATCCTTCTTCCAGGGCTCGAGCCTGGTGCTGTCGATGTGTTTCTTGAGTTCATTTGCTATTCAGGGGGTCCTCTTCCTGAGGAACTACTGCCTCAAGTAAAGGTGATCCTAAATTTATTGCTATTTTTTCTGTACTCTAATCGATTATTTATTTATTTTTGGGAACTAAATCTTTTTTTGGAATTCAATGTTCTTCCACAAATGTGCAACTTGCAGTGCCCTGTTCTGGTGGCGTGGGGTGACAAGGATCCTTGGGAGCCAATAGAACTTGGAAGAGCCTACGGCAAATTTGATACAGTTGAAGATTTCGTTGTCCTCCCTAATGTTGGCCATTGTCCTCAGGTCTTTCCTCCCTCTTTCAAATGCAGACGCAATTGTCAAATGCCTTTAATTCATTATCTGCAATTTTGCAATCATACTCGCAGACGCAAGTTCAAAATTCAAAATTTGATGGGTTCAACCTTTAAGGTCTTTAGCGCTAAACTTATAGTACATTTAAAGTTATGAGTTCAGAATTTAATATTAAACTTGAAAGTTTAGTGGTTTCACACACATACTCTCAAAGTATGGAAAATACTAGGTTAAGTTGAATCTATTAGACAAGGCTCCATCCGCCGCTGCATACTAGCTCAAAGTACGTAGCTTATATACGAAGCAATAACGTCAAGAAAACATGCTTCTTCAAAATTTGCATGTCATCTTTTTCCAAAGGATAACTCTTTGTTTTCTTACGTCTACCAAGAGAAGAAAAGCTTGATTCTTGTACAAAAGGGCAGCTCGGTGCACTAAGCTCCCGCTATGCGCGGGGTCCAAGGAAAAGCCGGGACCACAAGGGTCTATCGTACGCAGTCTTACCCTGTATTTCTGCAAGAGGCTGTTTTCACAGCTCGAACCCTGACCTCCTGGTTATATGACAACAACTTTACCAATTACGCCAAGGCTCCTCTTCAAAAGCTTGATTCTAGTGTAAAATATATTACAAGTCTGAGGACTGTGTCTCGTCATTGTGACATTTTATTGATTTTCTTGTAGGATGAGGCACCTCATCTTGTGAACCCACTGGTGGAATCATTTGTTGCCCGCCATGCCAACGTTGCGAACTGAGTCGCTGAGCCTGTAGTCTTGCTGTTTACATCAAAATATACACGTTTGTTCTCGATCCAAGGACGACAAAGGTTGCTAGTCGAGAAAGACTGAAAGAAGTATATGGGGAGAAGAAGGAAAAAGTGAGACATAGTTTACTCAGTTCATGTGTATGTAAATAGGTACAATATTTCTAGTTTTCTCTATATGATGCAGGTCCTTGAGCCTCAATATTTTTTCGAATATAACGTTGTTGGTCTCGAAACCATTCTATAGAACTTGTTTTCTTTTTATGTGAGTTCGAGTCACTCCAAGAGTAAGGTGAGGAGTTCTTGGAAGAAGGGAGCCGAGGGTCTATCAGAAACAGTCTCTTTGCCTCAGGTTAGGGATAAGGTCTGCATACACACTACCCTCCCCAGACCCCACTAGTGAGATTATACTGGGTAGTTGTTATTGTTGTAGTTGTTGTATGTACTTCCTATTACATAGCTAACACAACATGTAAATCGTAGTGCTCCCTTTCAACCATTCGTTTTGGTTCTATTTTTTTCACGTTTTACTTCTACATGTTTTTCATGTTTTACTTCTTCTCAGATATTGAAGAAAAGGTTAAAAAGTGGATAACTAAAGAGTGCAAAATAAACACAATTTCTGTCTTTTCTCATCAATCTTGGCGATATGTTAAAACAAAGAGTTAAAGTTTTGTGTACCGTTAGTGTAAAAAAAAATATGCCATCATGTAACATTGACTTGCTATATAGTTTACCAATATTATTTTAATTTTTTTTTCCTGTTTACAAAATTCAAACGCTGCTTTCCCCCCCCCCCCCTTCAAATACTCGTTTTCCTACTGTATTCACAGTTTATTATATGAATATATTTAATGGATTTCTCATAGATATATAGAATCGGGCCAGAGCTACTGGGTTCGTAACATAAATTGTGCCTATGCCACTGATTCAATGTTTTTTTTTTCTTTTCTCAATGGTTGATTTACACAAAAGAAACAAATTTCCTATTAGCTTTTTAATTAGTTAAAGATAATTAAAGTCTTGCTCTCCCTTCCTTCCCCATTAAACTACGTATATTATTGTGTGGAACATAAATAAATTAGTACCATCTTCTTCTTTAATTAAGAATCATTCTAACCAAATTTGGATTAGTTCTTTAATTTTGCTTGCTACTTGTTCAGTTAAGATTAAAAAGCTACCTCAGGAAAATGCTAAGCCAAATGTTAATCAATTCATATATATATATATGCGCACTGTTCAGGACTCCAGGTTAGCCAAATTGTCCTGTTTCAGGCTATTAAAATTTAAGAAAACACATCATTATTAGGTTTCATAGATTTTTATATTTAATTATTAAATTCGATTAACCTTAAAAGCATGAAAAATTATTGTTAGACGATTAAGAAAATAACTAGTATATGTATTACTAAAAAAATTATCCGATAAGAATATTTTAATAGATCATATGTTTGTCAGTTTTTTAAATTTTTACTAATCATATATTCACTTATCAGAACTTTATCTATACTTTAACAGAGTAAGATTGAAATAATATTCATGTAACAAAAAAATTCAAAAAAACCCGAAAAGACAAAAAAAGTCAAACCAATCCAAACTGATATAATTGATTTGGTTTGATTTTGATAAAAATCGAACTAACCAGGTTCATGTACGCCCCTAGTGGTGGTTTAAGAAAAAAAACCGCAGGCAAAAATTTACCCAATTACCCCTCTATGTTTTAGTTATGCATGCTTATTCTTAATTTAGGATATTTTGCATTACTTTGACTTCAATTCATGTGGCCTACGCTAAATAAATTGTGTATATATATATATATACAAAGGAGTCAAAGTCTTTATTTATTACAGTTTTAATTTGTTAAATGATTGGTGGCAAAGCTGCAAAAGTAAGTATTCATTGTATCATGTAAGCGAACCTAGGTACGTTAAGGAATATGTAGAATGCGATTTAACAAAGATAAAAAACCATCTTATAATGTAATTTACTAGTCCGATTTAGTAAATATGACTTACAAATTATAGTGAAATCGTGCTTGAAAAATAAATCTAGTTCAGAAATACGATTTATAATTCAAGTCGGACAAAAAGTGATGTATACTTATAAATTGTAAGTATATGCCAAATGCAACTTATAAATAGATTTGCTAATTTAGAACTCATAAGTCGCATTTGTCAAATTTCTCAAAATCTGACTAATATTGCTACAATGGGGTTTTATAAAACGCAAATTTGGAATGAGACTTATGAATAGCTATTAGCGGATGCGACTTATAAATCGCATTCTGATTACACAACGCCTTCACCGAATGCTACTGCAAGCTGGAATTGAAACTTATAAATAGCATCTAATAAATGAGACTTATAAATCTCATTCACCGAATGCTACTTGTAAAAGCATTCTGAATTTATAAATTTGATCGAATGCGACTTATAAATATGCGGTTTCCTCTGTACGGAACTTTATTGAAGAAACTTTAATAATTTTTCATTCGTTTAACTGTAAACTAATGAAATCCCAATAACGACCGCATCACCTACTTTTAACCCCTCTCTCTCTCTCTCTCTCTCTCTCTCTCTCTCTCTCTCTCTCTCAATTTCTGAGCAAAAACACAGAGATTTGCTTTTGAATCTCCCAAAAACCCTATGCGGAGATAGGGTTATTGGAGTAGAAAGCGGATCAATAATTTTATTATGGCATTTTCATGGCGTTTAATCGGACTGTGCATTCTTCTTCTATCATCGATCGTTATAGCCGATGATGATATCTCACGCGCCGCCCCTGCTAATGCGTCAACCTCCTGCAACAATCCTTATCGATTGGTAATTTGTTTTATTCTTTCCTATTATTCAGATTCCTTCCACTCATAGTTTATTTGCGAAAAAAAAAAATGGTGGTAGTGGCGGTTAGAGAGTATCTAATCAATTTATATGTGAAAAATAACTAAAAGTTTAAAAAAATATAAATTTAGAGCTCATAGTTTCAAAAATGTAATAGGATCTATAATAAGCTGAAGGTTGAACTTATCAAATTTAAATCCAGAATTTGACTCTGCCTGGTGGTAGTTATGTGGAAACGTAGTTGGGAGAGAGGTTTCTCTTCTCGTATTTTTTGAGTTTTAGAAGGCATAGTTTATTTGAAACCAAATTATTAGGTGTTGGAATGAAATGGGTACAAATAGAACGGTATGAATATAGAGGAGTGGCGGAGCCAGAAATTCATACAAGGGGACATAAAAGAATACTAGAGTGTCACACTCAGGATTTGAACTTGTGATTCAAGGCAATTTTTGAACCCCTTTACCACTACACTAGAATCATTCTTACCGATAAAAAAACTACACTAGAATATTTCTTATGTCAATGAGATTCGACAGTTCATATATAACCAAAAAAAATATATTTTAACCCTATTTTCTCAGTACAATTTTCCTTAAAAGGGGGTTCAACAACCCCCTTGGCTCCCTTCAGCTCCATCACTATATAGAGTATTCATGTAGCTAACCCTGACTAGTTTGGGACAAAGATCAGGAATTCCAAATAGAAATTAAGATTGAATGGTGGGCTGTTAAGCCCCTTATCACAAATAGCGGACAAAGTGAGTTGTTGTCGCTGTTATTGTTTTGTCTTAAAATTACTCTATATGGTAGTGAAATAATCTTACAAGGTTGCTGATACCCTGATAACCAAAACTTGTAGCCAAATTTGAGCTATCTTCTAATCAATATTTAATTCTGAGGTTTTAGTTCGGCGAGAGTATCATAAGGTTCACAAAGTTTAGTAGTATGAGTTATGCACTAGCAAAGTCTACTAGTGAAATCGTTATGGAGATCTTACAGGGAGGAAGATGCCTACTGGAGAAAGATAATTAATGCTAAGCATGGAATACAAAATAATTGATACAAAGTTTACCTCCTTACCTTATGGAGTAGGCAGTCCCCTGGAGGTACATTAGCTAAATGGGGAAGACTTCAAGGAACACATATACTTTGAATTAGGAGATGGAACAAAATAAGATTTTGATTAGACAAGTGGTACCTTCACAAGGTAGGGGTAAGGTCTGCCTACATACTACCCTCCCTATATCCCACTTGTGGGAATACACTGGGTATGTTGTTGTTGTTGTTGATTTGACAAGTGGTACGGAAAGAACACACTAAAGAATGCATTTCCGAGCATATTTCTAAAGGATCTACTTCGGTGGCAACTTTTGCTGATTGTAGAGATAATACTGTGGGTGCCTTCATTAAGAAAGAACTGTCAGGATTGGAAAGTCAGTTGCTTGATAAGGCTAATAGACAAACTGGAACAGGATAATTTACAAAGACACATACACTCTTGGGATCTTGACCATATAAAGGGATATGGAGAATTAAAGCTCTAACCAAGGTGATTTGTTATAGAGCTGGATAATGATGTATGAAGCTTGCAAAGACAAGACAACTTGATGAAGAGAGGATTTAACCTTTCAATAGATGCTTTCTATGTAAAGCAGACATTTTTTCTTGCTTTGTCTGGTGGCCAAGGACATTTGTAGCATGTTCCTAAACATGTTTTGAGTTCAACAGGTGATGCCAACTAGTCTTGAGGAGGCTTTTGTAAGCCGGTGCCTAAGAGAAGTGGAGAAAGAAAGAAAAAGATATGGCAAGCAGTACCAAATTTTATATTTTGGACACCATGGAAAGAAAGGAATGCAAGATACTTTGAAGAGACCTCTGCTATCCCTGTACTAATGCCTCTTGAACCCTTTTTGTTGGTGTAAACATACAGATATATCTGATGTAAATATGTTTTTGGACTTACATTGGATCCCTGAGTTCTGCATAGGAGCTATTTACACTTTTGAAATTATGCTCTTCTGGACGCCAGTATTAATAAATGTATCTTTACTTCATCAAAGAAAAAACAAAAGAGCAGTACAGAGAAGTTCTATGTGCATCCAATCCAATGAGAAAAATAAAGATCTAATCACCGAGTTGTATGCATGTGAAAATAGGTGTCATTATTGTGTTACATCTTTGAATTCGACAAAAGGTAGCTTAACTAGTTTTAGATTGAGATGTAGTTGATCGATTATTTGATCGGTTATTTCTGTATCTGTTTCTTGGTGATTTAGGAGGGTGAGGGGTGCTTAGGAATTAGGAAGTTGGGTTCTAACCATCTGATGTCATGTCATCTTTCAAAAGATGTAAATTTTAATGACTACAAGAAGATTGAGTCAATCCATTTTTTTGTTGTGACAAAGTATTCTTTGATTTAATTCTGTTATGTACCTCTGGACACATACTGAGTTACTTCTTCATACCAAGTTATTTCTTTCTTTTTGTACAGGTTCTGGTGAAGTTGTGGATTGATGGTGCTGAGCATGAACAAATAGGTGGCTTAAGTGCGGCATTTGGGTCTCTTTTACCCACTAATACTAAAAATACCCCCAGATTGCCTGCTACTTATGCAAAACCCTTGAATGGCTGTTCTAGTTCCTCTTCTAAGGTATTTATTCCAGATTCCTGACAATGTCTTTATTCTTAGGTAAATAGCCAAAATCGCAGAGGCTTTTCAACTCGTAATCTATAATTTTTGGTTGCAATTCTTTCTCTGACATATGAAGAAGGTCAACTTTTGTTATACATTGCATAAAGCAGAGATTTTTGTTTACTTTGGTCTAGTTATCAGGGTCTATTGCACTAGCTCTTCGCGGTCAATGTGATTTTCTAACGAAGGCTACGGTTGCACAAGCAGGAGGTGCTGCAGGGATTTTGATGATAAATGATCAAGAAGGTTGTCATCCATGACTTATTGCCATTTCAGTTTTTATTTTCTTTTCGTTTTTACTTTTTTGGTGATTTTGTCTCCCCCGTCTCTTCCAGAAATGACACTACTTTTTCCTGCTATCCTTTAGATCTTTTGGAGATTACTTGTCCGGACAATTCTACGGTATCAAACATAACAATTCCTGTTGTGACCATTTCAAAAGCCGGAGGAGATGTCATTGAAAAATATATCTCTGCTGGAAAGAAAGGTACAGTCTTGGCTTCATGTATATTAGCTCCATTTTCTGTCAAGGGTTAAACTTTCTGTTGATTCTAGTTCTGGTTTTCAAGGTATCTGGTATCTTAGGATACAATTTATACTTTTTTATAGTACATGCATTGTTTTTCACCACTTTCAATTGTCGTAATGTGTAGTGCGATTCTTGTATCACTGTATAGCATATGTCTTGCAAAAATCTGTTCAACACATGTCCTTTTTTCAGGATGTGATATGATCCATATTTTTATGATACATGCATACCTTTGCAGGAAAGATATGATATGGTCTTTTTTTTTTATCTTTTTTACATGTGTGCCTTCAACATATATGAAGTGCGAAATTAGTATGTTTNGGTTCTTGTGTCTTTTTTGGGTTGGGTTTTGATTTACTCCGACTTATGCCTTAGTTCTTATCTTTGTTCTTGTTTCTCCTTGTACTTGTGTTTACTAACTGAGTGCCATTTACCTGTTAGAAAGACCAATTGAGTAACATCAAGCTGCCCCAAATGATTTGAGACTATATGAGTCTCATCTCATAAGGATGGCTGATAAATAGATTTTGGATGCTATTTCACTTGAAAGTGCCGTTTAAACACCTAAACTATATAGAAGAGTTGAGCTACAAGTTAGACTTAAGCGGTATAAGATGTTCAGTTTGAATGATTGATTCAGAGTGTTCTAGAGATCTCTGCTTTTCATCTCACTTCATCCTCATTTTTAATGCTCAGTCATCAGATGATGTGGTTCAGGAAGTTCTGAGAGTTAAAAGGCTAGTACTGGTTGATTGGTTAAGGTTTCAGGTCATGGAAAGGGCTTTAGGAGTATACCACAAATGTAAACTGAGAATAAACGGAGTTTTAGAGGTTTTCAAAGTTGGTTTTTTGCTGCTGCGGAAGATCTAGGAGATCAGATGGTGCTCATGACACAAGGATCTGGTTTGGGCTCCAGGACAATTAGGGTAGTTTGTAAAAGTTGAAGTGAGAAAGGAGATATGGAAATTTGAGAAGTTTAGGTTTTCGGCACAATGGATTGAAGGATTTGAGTAATATGGTTTTTTCAGTAAGTGTTTCATTGGAAGAGGTATACTGCAGTAGAAAGTCTACACAAAAGGTTGACTTTTTTCATAAAAGCATCTCATCATCTATACAGGGTGTGTTATTCAAAAAGATTCAAGACCAAGAATGTTTCTTGGACCTGTGAGAAAGGCTTCTCGATTTCCGGTAAAGCCCATGGTTACGTTCACTTTGAACAGACAATCCACATGAGTGCCAAAGCAGGAGCTCCTGAGCAACCTCTAAAGCTCTGTTGGAAATATTTGAGTATTAATTACCATTTCAAAAAAAATAAAAAAAATACTGAGTATTGTAAGATTTCTTGTAAAGATTACAAAGATGCCTGAGGTGGCTTTCACCGGAGAAATAAGTTATTGGAGGGTCATTGATTAGAGTGGGCTGGGTTAGTCTTGAACTAGTCCTATGATGGATTAAGAATATCTGCATATTAGTCATGGGAGACTGGGAGTGAAAAGACATCCTTCATATGGTAAGTAATGGTATACAACTGGCTTTGACGATGGGATGACTTGTTCTTAAACACCGTGACTGAGGATAGAATATTCATGCTCACTATTGAGCATGTGCATTTAAACTATATAGTAGCGGCTTCTCTTGCTACTCTGTCCATTGTGCATTTGTCATCATGCTTGTTTTAATTCTTGTTATCTCTTGTTGTTCCTCTGTTCTTGGATCGTGGAAGAATTACAACATGACGGGCATACTTTCTCTTAATGCAGTGGAGATTCTGTTGTATTCGCCAGATCGCCCCATTGTGGACTACTCAGCAATGTTCATATGGCTGATGGCTGTTGGCACAATTTTTTGTGCATCTTTTTGGTCCGAGCTTACTACATCTAAGGAAAGCAATGGCTATGAACAGGCACCGGAGGTTACAAAAATAAGCATCCTGATATATCTTTTACATTTAATTTATACAGCCCCTTATGTTCTTACAAAATTAATTAGCAATGCTCTGCTTGTTTAATCAACTTTTCATACTGTATCTTGAAGTTGATATCCTAGTTTTTAGGCTGCTGCATTGTGTTGGATTTTGGAGTTATACACTTAGGAATAGCTGCAGTCTTTCAAAAGTTTATCTACCCGCATCACCAAAATATCCAGGAAGGGACACACATATATCTAAAGTCACTCGTAGTCAATACATAATATATTCTTTTATCAGTCAAAAGAATTTCATTGATGTTGGCACTAGGATGGAAAGAGTTTCTCATAAATTGAGATCGAGGAAGTAAGTCGTTTCCTTCTACTGCAACTACTCTCTCTAGCATCCCAGAAGATAGAGCAGGAGGCTAGAGTATTGGGCTTTTGGGAGATATCATCTGCAAATATAATATTCCCATCACTAAGTGGTTCTTCAACCAAATATTAACACACTAAACTAAATTGAAACTCAAAAGAAAGCAGTAGATATTATGGCTAAATGCCATAAAAATAGTAGTCTATTAAGAACCCTTTTTAAATTATTTCTGGTATCTCCCAAAGATAAGTTTATGCAGTCAAGATTGTTGTATGGACATTGTCATCCTGTAAACATTCATGTTTAGTGATATTTGAGTGTCTTTCATCGCATAATATCATTTCAATGCACAAAGAAGGTAATAGTGAGGTCTGTTGGAAATAATTTCAGAGGATCTTCTTTATAAAAAATCGTTTCAGAGGATCTTTTGGAATGGTTAAGCATGTGTTGCTTTGTTTCATTTGTATTATTACGAGATTGTACCCTCTTTTAGCCCTTGTGTTCTTTTGATGAAGTAAGTAATTATCATTAATAAAAGGCATCCAGAAGATGCAAAATAGAAAATACAATGGTAGCAAAAAAGGTTAGCTCCAGAATAATGTCTATGCTAGAATCAGGGAGCTAACAAAATCCAAAAAAATTATCAACAAATTTAGCCCTTGTGTTTTCTTTTGACTTAATGTAGTTCTGAGCTTTTGAAGCAGGAAGATACAGTGGGATTACTTATTTTGCTTTGTTTAAAAGTTTATTCTGATTGCTGATAGGGTAAGTTGGACGCTAGTAGCTCAGACAAGACACTCATTTATTTACTAGTCCTGTGACATGTAGTTTTGCATGTGGATTCTACTGGTAGGAAATTTGATTGCGACTTAGGTGAACCACCGGGAATTATTAGAGCATGAGAAGATGGGGAGAAAAAGTTACCAAACAATTTTTTTACGATGAGAAAGTGCTAGGATTCTTTATGTTACCTAAGCTAGAGGATGAATATCTTGCATTATGGGTGAGTATGGTCCATTAAAGTGGAGAGGTATCAGGAGCAGAGTGGTGCTTGGGGCATTTTAGCTATGCTTCCCTGACATGACTGAAAGCTGAAAATTCTTCTTCGTCGAAGGAAAAGGAAAGAATGCAGATGATAGGTTCATGGCAATAAAAAACACTATCACTGGCGTAACATGTATTAGAGATTGATTTTGTTATACTGTGCGATTCTTAAACAATGAACTGATGGCAATGGTACAGAATACTTGGTCACTTGTCTTAATTTAATGTATCTAGCTTGTTACAGTCTATTGCTGTGTAGCAGGTGCTCCATCTTTTTTATGTTTGGAGGTGATTTATGTTTCTTATTTTTATCCTATGTGTCCCTTCTTTCCCATTCTTTTTGCTTGGAGTAAAAGATTCAGACAAATCACAATTAGTTTTGATGATTAATGGCTGTCACACTAGTTTATATGTTCTTCCTTTCTCATTTTTAGGTAAATGCTGGAGGCGCCAGGGAGGAAGATGACAAGGAAATTCTAAATATCACTACAAAGAGTGCTTTAATATTTGTCATCTCAGCGTCTACTTTTCTGCTGCTACTTTACTTTTTCATGTCGGCTTGGTTTGTATGGCTGCTGATAATACTTTTCTCTATTGGTGGAGTTGAGGTACTTAAATAATTCTCTACTTTGACTTGATCACGAAGTTAAGCTAACTTGTTTTGAACTTGGTTAAGGCAAAACCATCTCACTTCATAGCATTGCGTTTCTCTTCTCATGGTGCTAGTAGTTGACAGATTATAGGTCATCTATTTTGTACTAAAAGGGAGCACGATGATAAGCAAAGACGATGCCATCCACAAATTAACCACAAACAAGCCTTTCAAAACAACCCGAAACCAGAAACTGCACACAAACTGACCCACACAGTCAAATCAAACAGAACCTGATTAATAAGCCACAAATGGAACCCATCCCCACAAACCATACTAAACCTTCAATCACAATTTATGTTCCCAAAATGACCCACTAATTATAGCGTCCTTTCAGCTGATTAACTTATTAGTTATGCTGTACATAGCATGCCTAGTTATAATGTAATAAAGCTATGCTTTGTAAACCAAATTTAGTCAAGGGAATGCACCAACTGTTAATTTTTTATTCTTTTTGCCTGGTTGAATCAAAGATAAAAGTGATCTATTTTTCCATGTGAGCTCATACGAAGATTTAATGAAATTTTCTGCTCAATGCATTTTCTATGGTAATGAAATTTTGTGCTCAATGCATTTTCTCTATAGTTCTGCTGGACAATGTTCTTTAGAAGGGTTACCCTTCTCCAGCTCTAGAAGATTGAAGCTTATGGACACATATTGAGCATTTTTTGCATTTTTATGCATCTTGGTTGAACAGAACTTAGGTTTCTTTCAGTTTGGTTGACATTGTCTCTGCTTATTGACTTTTAGTGCTTAATTGTTTCCTTCTCAGGGAATGCATAGCTGTATAATATCCCTAGTATCAAGGTATAATATTTCCAAGAGTGATTGTTTGTCTGTCAGATTAATGTATGGAATAGATTTCTAATTAGCTCTTCTACTTTGTTTCTGTCAATCTTGTGAGTAGCAAATGTAAAGGTTGTGGAAGGAAGACGTTGAATTTGCCGCTTCTTGGGGAGGTTTCTGTTCTATCTCTTGTGGTCTTGATAGTCTGCGTGGCATTTGCCATCTTCTGGGCCGCAACTAGGAAAGCGTCATACTCTTGGATTGGCCAGGATATTCTGGTAAGCTTATTAGTAAAATTCGTTCTTGAAATTTCATGCATTTTCTTGCATAACTGGAAACATTTTTTGCACTTTGATCTGTATGCTGTTACTATGAACCAGGTAATAATCTACTCAAGCCAGTTATCTAATTCTCTGATAAATATGCATCATAGTCACTTGAACTTTCACTCTTCTAATATTTGCACTCTCAAACACAGTTAAAATTAAAGAACTTTTCTTTGCCAGGGAATTTGTTTGATGATAACTGTTCTGCAGTTGGCTCAGTTACCTAATATAAAGGTATGTTGATAGCTTCCATATATTTTTCTACGAGAGGAGTTTATAGCTTATTTTGCTTCACTATGATTACTGTTCTAATTTAATTTGATGATTACTGTTTTGCTTTAGGTTGCTACAGTGCTTCTGTGTTGTGCATTTCTCTACGACATCTTCTGGGTTTTCCTTTCACCTGCTATATTCCATGACAGTGTAATGATTGCAGTAAGTTCTCTCTTTAGCTACATCTATTTCTCTGTACCGTCCATGCTGACTTTCTGTATTGTGGTGAGCTCCCAATTTTAACCTTTGTGTAGGATGTGTTATATCATATATCATATTTGTTTTGAGTAGAACTTAATTCCTAAAAGTTTGATTGCATATTTAACCTAAATGAATATGGAAAGAATCTATGTCAGTTAAACAAGACTTATAGTGAACACTGGTCTTAGACTCATTTGTATACAGCTGATTCTGTACTCAAGTATTTGTGCCTCATAGGATAGACTTACATGCAATGACATAGCACGAGTACAACTTATCACCTAGCAGAACCATGGCTAGTTTATATATTAGATTCTTTAGTCCACTTGGCTGGTTTTGAAGGCTAGGCCCTCGTGCTGGCAGAAAAATCATTGGAATTGTGTCATTTATCTTCTCCTTTTTGTTAGCAAGAAACTCGAATTCTGCATGTTGATTGAGTGAGTTCACTGTCTGTTTTGTGAAAGTCTTCACTCTATGTTGGAATGTTTAGTTGTGTAGTAATGATTCAATCGTTTTGTCATTTATATAGGGTTTAACCGTTTTGGCTGTCTATTAGATTATATAAGGAAATAAGCTTCAATTCAAATATTAGAACATGAGCATGCTCATATGTAACAATGATTGTTTTGATAAGGTATTTTAGTCACAAAAGAACGAAGAACTTGCTAGGGCTGGCGAGAAACAGAAAATCGAGTATAGTTCTGTTTAAGTGAACTTAATTTTATAAAGGAAGATAACATGAGTATCAAAAGATTCAAGGACTACTGAAAGAGTAACCCGAAACTGCAAGGAATAAACTTGAACAGAAGATATACATCAAAATTTCTTGAATTCTAGGACCCGGGGATCTCGAGAACATAGTAATCAATAATTAAAATGAAGACTCATTGATAGTTTTCTTTAATCGATATGGATTGTGGACATCTCACTTGTTAGTTTATAGATATGTATAGTGTAGTCTTGTCCCACATTGGAAGAAGAGTAATATCTCCTTGTAGTGTATAGCTATAAATAGGGACCTCTTGTATTGTATTTATCATCCAATATCAATAACATATTTTCTCCCATGCCTTCTCACATGGTATCAGAGCATTAGTGAGAAAAGATCGTTGTGCGTCATTCCAGCGTTAACCGCGAAGAAACAACTTAGTCATCGTGCAATTTTTCCGGTGGCCTAAGGCTTGTCTAAGTGAAAGTCACTTTCTGTCGGTGTTGTGCTAAAGCCAACACCACCACGAGGTAGATCACCCTCCGACGACCAACCCCTGAAATTTTATCCAGCAGAAAAGCCGCCACGCTCCTTCACGCGCCAGCAACAACTTTTTCGGCGAGGGTTCCGGCCCTTTTTTTCGCGAAGCTTCTTCAGGACAGTGTGCTCTCCTCAAAATTCCGAGCTTACCCATCTAATTCAAATCAAATTCCGACCACTTTTATATTTTTCCGACGTGAACAGTGACCTTTCCGGACGTTTTTTTTGAAAACATTTCTTCAGGACAGCTCGCTCGCAAAGGAATTCCGAGTCTATCCATCCTGGTTTCGACAAATTCCGACAACTTTGGAATTTTCCGGTGAGCTACAGTATTTCCGGCACAGAACAGTGTTCTGTTTTCCTGCTGTAAACAGTGTTTTTCAAACTATTTCTTCAGTTTTCTCACAGGAGTTACTTATTTCCAATATTTCAAGTTAACCCTACTACTACAAATTGTAGCGACTGAGAACCGATGCTTTGAATAGTCAGATGGTTTCTTTAGCAGAGTATATTGAGTTTCTTCAGTATAAAGCATGTAAGCAGACATCTTCTGAGATAGCTTCTGTTGTTCAAAAAGGTAATAGCGTGACTTGTTTCTCCCAATCTTCATCCTCTGAGTCTTGGGTCATTGAATCAGGTGCATCAGATCATATTTCTGGTAACAAATCTCTTTTCACTACTATTTCGTATTCTCAATCTCTTCCAAAAGTCACAATGGCCAATGGGTCTCAAACCATGGCAACTGCAATAGGTCAAGCAAGCCCACTTCCTTCCTTACCTTTAGATTCAGTCCTTTATGTTCCCAATAGTC